AGGAATCTTGAAAACTGTGTCTTGTTGATTACTCAGCTGAAAGGAAGTCCTTGAAACAAAATTCTGTCTTAGTACTTGATAGAAATTGTGAGTAAGGCAAAATGAGACATCTTCACTGATGTAATGGTTGCTATCAGAATCTTCTTAATTCTCATTGGTCACTGTGAAATTCCAGTCAAAATTAGAGGAGTTTCCCAAGGATAGTTCTGTGGTTTTTCAAAAGGGACTAATTATTTCTGACACTAAGTATCAGATCAGAGATTTAAATATACAAATCATGCTGTAGCCTCTGTGACCTGCAGGTACTTGGTAAATCTGTAGAAAGCTGGGAAATGGTTTGTGACAGCCTGTAACTCTTCTGAATCCTGTTATCTGAATTTTGAAGTTTAATCCTAATTCCCATGGAACAAGATGTGATACACATGATTATTATGGAAATAGTAATTAAATGATATTTTCTTGTTTGAAAGAGGTACTTTTGCTTTTCCAGTTGAGGTATGAAAGATAAATGCCTTACAGTTTCTTTCCTTCCTATAAACATAAGACTTTGGGAAACATAGGGACTGATCCCAGTGATTGCAACCTAAGGCCACTTTCAGTGACCTACTTTGCAAGCCCAGTTATTTCTTCCTGGGAACCTACCCTGCAGGTGTCCAAGCCTGCTGTCACTAGTCATGGAAGGAGTTTCTGCACTGAGAAAAGTTAGAGAGTACTGGAAATCTGGGATGTACAGGTAGATACAGTTGGAATTGGGATGGATGGAGAAGATATGCCTTTTCTGGAGCTGTAATTATTACTATCTTGTGCTGTTTCTAGACTCAAGTCTAGATTTAGACAAGTGACTATTCTAAAGGATTATTGCAATAGGGAGAAAATAGCAAGTATAACAAGTGTAAGCATCATGAAGTTTAGGCAGAAAAGGTCTGGCTTTTACAAGAGGAGCAAACAAGATTAGAAAGAAGGCACGTTGAGGGACAGCAGGACAGAGAGTAGCAAAGTCAGATCCCAGATTGGAGAATGTTTAACCCTGAATTCAATATGTTCTTTGAAGGGGTTGTAAAGGGGGACAGTGTGTTGGCTTAGGCTGAGGCTAGGTCAAAATTATGGGGCCTGGAAGGAAAAGAGAAATCTAAGCAAAAATTAGCAAGTATTTTGTTAAATACTTTGTTAAATATTTCTGAAGAGAAAACTATTCATCTGTTTATGAGACAAAAAATTAGAGTTTGCAGTCAGTGAAAGGTTTTGTTACAGGTGAGAAAGGAAGCACCATCTAAGTCATAATGGGAAGGTATTTCTTTGCAGTAAGCTGAAGTAGGCAAACACAAGGGATTGGGCATTTCTTTAATCAGTTATTTATCAGGATTACCTACCCACTCCATCCCCATTTGGCTGTTCCTGTGTGCTATCCATTCTAATAAACTGGTAAGTGTAAGTAAAGTGTTTTTGCTGAATTCTGTGAGTAGTTTTTATCAAATTATTGGACTTGAGCAGGGATTATAGGATCCCTTAGTTTATAGGCCAGTATGTATAATATGGAAGTTGCAGAAGGAGGAAAGAAAGAGGAGGGGTAGAAATATGGCCCAAATTCCCTGAATTTTGGGGAAGACATGGACATCCAGATTCAAGAAGCCCAGTAGACACCAAATAGGAGCAAGCCACAAATGTCTACACTGAAACGCATTGTAATAAAATTAGTAAAAGTCGAAGATAAGGAATTTTGAGAGCTGCAAGGAAAGAGCAGTTCATCATATACAAGGGATCTACACTAGGATTCTGAGCAAATTTCCAAGCAAAATCTTGGAGACCAAGAAGAAAAGGTTATATATTTAGAGGGCTGAAAGAAAAAAATACTGCCCACAAAGTATTATATCTAGCAAAACCTATTCATAAATGAAATTGCGGTACTTTTCCAGAAAAACAAGAATTGGGAGACTTCACTATCACCAGTTCTGCCTTTCAGTAAGTGCTAAAGGTAGTTTGTGAAGTGAAACTAAAGGATGTTTAGCATAAAGCTCACAGATCAAGGTGTAAATATATAGAAAATAGTGTAATGCGGTAATGATGGTGCATAAATAACTTTTATTTCTGGTCTTGTAAATCAAAGACAAATGAATAAGAAGTACTGATACCTGTATAAAATACATTAACAGATACATGATAGAAAAGATATATTTTGTAGTGTCAGTAACAAAGTTTAAGAATAGGTAAGAAGAAAAAGTGGATTTTCTATATGTAGTAGAAGTTAATAGGTTAAAATAGGTCATTATAAGATGTTTTAAGCCTCAGGAAAACCTTAAAGAAAAGGCCTAGAGAAAACACACACATGGACAAAATGAGAACAAAATCAAAGCATGTCATTACAAAAAAACAGATGTAACAAAAGGGTGATGGCAAGAGAGGAAAGGAAAGAAGAAAAACCTACAAGATAGAAAAAAGTTAGCTAAATGTCAGTTACTCCTTCCAGATTAATAATTTTAAGCATAACCAAACCACTGAACCAAAAGACAGAATGACTGTATGGATTGTTTTTTTTTAAAGTCCAACTACATACATTATACAGGAGACTCACAATAAAGACATAGATAGGCTGAAAATGGAAGAATGGTGAGAAATTTGTGTTTATAAGCCAACCAGTGATTTGTTTTTATAACCTGAGTGGATTGAGTCTAGTATCCAGAATACAGGCAGACTGTTGTCACTCAAAAAAATCCAGTTTAAAAAGCAAGCAATTGAAAAACAAGCAATGATTAGAATAGACATTTCTCTATAGATAGAAGATGCAGACATAATAAGATATGTAAATGGTCAAGTACATGAAAGATGCTCATTGTTAATTATTAATGCAATGCAAATCAAACTATAGTGAGAAGCTACTTCATACTTACTAGCATAGCTGTAATCAAAACCACAGACATTGACAGTGTTGGCGAGGCGATGAAGAAATTGAACCCTCCTATGTTTGATATGAAATAGTGCAGTCCTTTTATGAACAAGTTTGACAGTTCATTGAAAAGTTCAGTGTATAGAATATTGACCTAACAGTTACATCTTGGTTGTATACCAGAAGAATTATTGAAGGCATACCTCTATCCAAAAACTTTTTAAAGCTTATGTTATTTACCAATAATGCAAATTTTATTAGCATTCTCAAGAGCATTATTTATAATTGCCACAAATTGCAAATAACTCAGATTTCTTCAACTGATTAATGTATAACCATAGTGTGGTGTGGACAGAATTTAACATTTTCCACTTATAAAGGATTGATATACTGATACATGCCACAACATGGATGAACCTTGAAAATTTTATACTACGTGAAAGAAGCCAAACACATAAGACCAACTATTTATTGATCCTAGATAAAATGCCCAGAATAGTAAATCCAGAGGCAGGAAGAGTATGTGTGGTTACCTGAAATTAGAGGGAGGGTGAAATGGGGAGGCATGAGGTTTTCTTAAAGAGGATGGAAATATTCCAGTATTGGATGGTGGGAATGATTACACAACTATATAATACATAAAAACCATTGAGTTGTATACTTTAAAAGGCTGAATTTTACTGTGTGTGAATGATTTTTTAAAAAAAGAACTATTATTTACTGTCCATGAAGACAGAAACCATAGTGATCTTAATATACAGAATTAGTAGTTTAATATACAGAAAAAAGTTTAATATACAGAATTAGTAACTATAACATGATGGAAGAAACAGGTAGTAAGAAGTAAAGAGACCTTTAAAGAACATAGAAAGAGTAAATTTAGTAAGTAACCACTACCACTGAGGCTGAAACAGTGTCACAGGAAGAAGCTGCTTGTTGAGGTTTTTGGTCCAAGCCTTGTGGGAGAGGGGTCAGATGTTGCTCACTAGAGAACTTACTGGAAGCTTAAAGTCTCTGGCATATGCTGCACTTTGGAGTTCACTGCAAAGACATAAGAAAGGTTGATTGGGAAAGCTGGTGATAGGGAGGTACCACTGCTGTTCAACAGAGTGCTGGGGTGAGCTGTTGAGTGCTTGAAAATCTCCCTGCAGTTGCAGAATATTGGAGAAACAAGTATGTAGGAGTCTGGCTGGAGTAATGCACTGGATCCAGGAACGACAAAAAAAAAAAAAATCTATCTTCTTCAGTGTGCCTCTACTGACAATGCTTTCTAACATCATGCCACTAGCAAAAGAGCAATATTTAAAAGGCTCGTCTCAGTTTTTTGGAGAATAAGCAATAAATAATGCATTTGGAGATGAGAGTTTATAATACATTCTGCTTTGTTGGGTTAAGTAAAAGTATCAGGTATTCATCTCACAATTCATCTAAACAAAATTTTAAGTATGTACCCATACAATACTTTCAGAGAATTTTGTTTTAAATTGTTGCAAAAAGCAATTTATGATAACTAAAAACCATTGAATAGTATAAAAGTGTTAAAAATGAAAGGGAAAACTTTCCCTCTTATTTCCTTATCATGAATCTCCTGAAAATAAAACTGTTACTAAAAATATACGGCATATATTTTTCCATATACATTTGTATATATTTTTCCTAGTGATAGAGGTTTTATATATAAAACCTCTTGGCATATGATCTGCTTTTAGTCTTTGCTGCAAGAAGGAAATGTGTCTGTGCAGTGCCAAGAGATTGTTCTAAAGATTTTCTCTTAATCTTGGTTCAGTTGCTAAGCACTTAGGAAATTAGGACTCAGTTATGTAACTGTTCTCTTTGATTTTTCTAAATGAAATGAATGGACTTGAAGAGAAGTTTAAAAAAATCTGGGATGGATATAGTTGGGAAGTAGATGGGGAGTGAGAGGTAATTTGTTTTATAACCCTTAATTCTCAGTTACCTGTTTGTGGTGTGGGATGCATAGTTTCATTTTATCATGTGTTTTTCAATTAAAATGCTTCAGATTGTGTTAAATAACTATACATGTTCATATGTATATTGCTGGCTCCTGCATACTGTGTAAATTTCTAAGACCTTGGAATAATTATAATTTTTTCTTTAGAAAATTCCTACAAAATGTCTCTCTACCCATCTCTTGAAGATTTGAAGGTAGACAAAGTAATTCAGGTAGGTTTAAATACTTTTAAATTTTAAAAATATTCTGTACCATACATTGTACTTATTTGTGAAACAAATCAAGAAATTTAACTTGCACATGTGTTTGTTCATTTGTACAATTCATAAACCTTTTGTTCATTTCTAGTGACTGAAGACTAAAAGGTTGCCAAATAACTAGTAATTCTTTTTCATTTCACTGTAAGTTAAATAAGCATAAGATGTTATCTTTAAAATGACTTAAACTCTTCAAAGATAGCTTACTTTTATGATTAAAATTTAAATTACATATTACATATTTAAGTAGATAGAATACACTCTACCCTTTTAGATGGTAATACTTTGTGTGAAGTTGGTACGTTTTTTCTTTTGAGTCCTTATCTAACCAACCCTTATAATCTGTGCCTCCTCTCTAAAGGTAAATGAATTCGGAAATAGTAGAGTATGTGCTGCTTTTAGAAGAGCCCTGGTGTAAAAACACAGGAAAACTACACTGATTTCCCTCCTTTTAAAAACAAGCATCAGATTTCCCTTGTTAATGTTCTAAATGCCTATATATTAGAGATTATAGCCTTTCTATTAGCATTAAGCCAAAAAAATCTTACAGTCCTTTATATGTAAGGATTAGCTTTAAAAACAGATGCTTCTGCTTAAGAAAAAAATAGGGATTTGGGATCAATTCTTATTATCCTGGAAATTTTTAGTAATCTTTCTAAGTGGATCCAATTAGTAGTATATAATGAACCCATCTGTTTACAGTTTGAGTTTGCTTTCCACTTAAGCCTCAGAATCTCTTCAGCTATGGTGCATTCTTTTCATTCCACATGATAAACCAAACTCTCATTTCCCTTTATTCCCCTAATAATCTTTTTAATACTGTAAATATGAGGAAGTTCTTTTGAGTTGAGCATTTTGCAGGTACTCTACCACATGAGCCATGCCCCCAGCCCTTGAGTTGAGTATTCTAAAACTCTCCTTTCTTTTTTTTTTTGGGGGGGGTGGGGGTGAGGTAGAACAGCTTTATTGAGGGAAGGAGAGTCACCTGTCCCGCCAGGTGAGCTAAGGGAAGGAGAAGGGCTTGGGTCTCTTGGTAGGTTGTTTTTATACCACCTTGAACTTGGACCTCATCACCTGGCTCCTCTCCCTTGTGGGCTAGAGGGAGGAGCCCTTGAGCCAAGAGTGAGAGCAGTTCAAGACTATCCCTAAGCTAGCCTGCCTCTCTCTGATGAACAAGTAAGCCAGGTGATCTAACAAGCCCTTTTCCCACTGAGTTTAGAATAGTAGTGGCTGCTGGAGAGTTCTGGTTGCTGTGCATGGGCAGTCGTCTTTCACACCACTGTCACTTGCTCCTTTCCTTCCCTCTACCTTGTTGACATATAGCTCACACTATGCCAGCACTGTGGTTGTTCATTCTTTTTTTTTTTTTTTTTTCAGGGTCTCTGTGCTGTTAGCCTTTTTTTTTTATTGTTTTATTCATATGTGCATACAAGGCTTGGGTCATTTCTCCCCCCATGTCCCCAAACCCTCCCTTACCACCCTCTCCACCCCCTCCCTCTTCCACCCACCCTCTCAATACCTGGCAGAAACTATTTTGCCCTTATCTCTAATTTTGTTGAAGAGAGAGTATAAGCAATAATAGGAAGGAACAAGGGTTTTTGCTAGTTGAGATAAGGATAGCTATACAGGGAATTGACTCACATTGATTTCCTGTGCGTGTGTGTTACCTTCTAGGTTAATTCTTTTTGATCTAACCTTTTCTCTAGTTCCTGGTCCCCTTTTCCTATTGGCCTCAGTTGCTTTTATGGTATCTGCTTTAGTTTCTCTATGTTAAGGGCAACAAATGCTAGCTAATTTTTTAGGTGTCTTACCTATCCTCACCCCTCCCTTGTGTGCTCTCGCTTTTATCATGTGCTCAAAGTCCAGTCCCCTTGTTGTGTTTGCCCTTGATCTAATGTCCGCATATGAGGGAGAACATATGATTTTTGGTCTTTTGGGCCAGGCTAACCTCACTCAGAATGATGTTCTCCAATTCCATCCATTTACCAGCAAATGATAACATTTCGTTCTTCTTCATGGCTGCATAAAATTCCATTGTGTATAGATACCACATTTTCTTGATCCATTCATCAGTAGTGGAGCATCTTGGCTGTTTCCATAACTTGGCTACTGTGAATAGTGCTGCAATAAACAGGTGACTCTGGAGTAACCTGTGTCACAGTCTTTTGGGTATATCCCCAAGAGTGGTATTGCTGGATCAAATGGTAGGTCAATGTCTAGCTTTTTAAGTAGCCTCCAAATTTTTTTCCAGAGTGGTTGTACTAGTTTACATTCCCACCAACAGTGTAAGAGGGTTCCTTTTTCCCCTGCATCCTCGCCAACACCTGTTGGTGGTGGTGTTACTAATGATGGCTATTCTAACAGGGGTGAGGTGGAATCTTAGTGTGGTTTTAATTTGCATTTCCTTTATTGCTAGAAACGGTGAGCATTTTTTCATGTGTTTTTTGGCCATTTGAATTTCTTCTTTTGAGAAAGTTCTGTTTAGTTCACATGCCCATTTCTTTATTGGTTCATTAGTTTTGGGAGAATTTAGTTTTTTAAGTTCCCTATATATTCTGTTTATCAGTCCTTTGTCTGATGTGTAGCTGGCAAATATTTTCTCCCACTCTGTGGGTGTTCTCTTCAGTTTAGAGACCATTTCTTTTGATGAACAGAAGCTTTTTAGTTTTATGAGGTCCCATTTATCTATGCTATCTCTTAGTTGCTGTGCTGCCGGGGTTTCATTGAGAAAGTTCTTACATACACCTACTAACTCCAGAGTATTTCCTACTCTTTTCTGTATCAACTTTAGAGTTTGTGGTCTGATGTTAAGACCCTTGATCCATTTTGAGTTAATATTGGTATAGGGTGATATACATGGATCTAGTTTCAGTTTTTTGCAGACTGCTAACCAGTTTTCCCAGCAGTTTTTGTTGACGAGGCTGCTATTTCTCCATCATATATTTTTAGCACCTTTGTGAAAGACAAGTTGGTTATAGTTGTGTGGCTTCATGTCTGGGACCTCTATCTGTTCCACTGGTCTTCATGTCTGTTTTTGTGCCAGTATCATGCTGTTTTTATCGTTATTGCTTTGTAATATAGTTTTTTGTTTTTTGTTTTTCTTCATATGTGCATACAAGGCTTGGGTCATTTCTCCCCCCATCCCCACCCCCTTCCTTACCACCCACTCCGCCCCCTCCCGTGCGGTCCCCCACCCCCTCACATACCCAGCAGACTATTTGCCCTTATTTCTAATTTTGTTGTAGAGAGAGTATAAGCCATAATAGGAAGGAACAAGGGTTTTTGCTGGTTGAGATAAGGATAGCTATAAAGGGAGTTGACTCACATTATTTGCTTGTAAAATAGTTTGAAGTCAGGTATCGTGATACCTCCAGCATTGTTCTTTTGAATGAGTATTGCCTTGGCTATTCGTGGCCTCTTGTGTTTCCATATAAATTTAATGGTAGATTTTTCAATCTCTTTAATGAATGTCATTGGAATTTTGATGGGAATTGCATTAAACATGTAGATTACTTTTGGGAGTATTGACATTTTTACTATGTTGATTCTACCAATCCATGAGCATGGGAGATCTCTCCTCTTTGTATAGTCTTCCTCAGTCTCTTTCTTCAGAAGTTTATAGTTTTCCTTGTAGAGGTCATTCACATCTTTTGTTAGGTTTACACCTAGGTATTTGATTTTTTTTGAGGCTATTGTAAATGGAATTGTTTTCATACATTTTTTTCAGTTTGTTCATTGTTAGTGTATAGAAATGCTAATGATTTTTTCTATGTTGATTTTATATCCTGCTACCTTGCTATAGCTATTGATGATGTCTAGAAGCTTCTGAGTAGAGTTTTTTGGGTCTTTAAGGTATAGGATCATGTCATCTGCAAATAGGGATATTTTGACAGTTTCTTTACCTATTTGTATTCCTTATTCCTTCTTCTTGCTAATTGCTCTGGCTAGGAATTCCAGTACTATGTTGAATAGGAGTGGAGATAGTGGGCATCCTTGTCTGTTCTGATTTTAGAGGGAATGGTTTCAGTTTTTCCATAAGTATAATGCTGGCTGTAGGTTTGTCATATATAGCTTTATAATGTTGAGGTACTTTCCTTCTATCCTAGTTTTCTTAGAGCTTTTATCATGAAATGGTGTTGGATCTTATCAAAGGCTTTTTCTGCATCTATTGAGATGATCAAGTGGTTTTGTCTTTGCTTCTGTTAATGTGGTTTATTACATTTATTGATTTTGTATGTTGAACCACCCTGCATCCCTGGGATGAAGCCTACTTGGTCGTGGTGAATAATCTTTTGATGTGTTGTTGAATTCGGTTTGCCATTATTTTGTTGAGGATTTTTGCATCAATGTTCATTAAGGAGATTGGCCTATAGTTTCTCCTTTTTGGAGGTGTCTTTGCCTGGTTTTGGGATAAGTGTAATACTGGCTTCATAAAATGTGTTTGGCAGTTTTCCTTCCCTTTCTATTTCATGGAACAGTTTAAGGAGGGTTGGTATCAGTTTTTCTTTAAAGGTCTGATAGAATTCAGCAGAGAATCCATCAGGTCCTGGACTTTTCTTTTTGGGGAGACTCTTGATTGCTGCTTCAATTTCATTTTGTGTTATGATCTATTCAGGTGATTAATTTCCTCTTGGTTCAGTTTTGGATGATCATATGTATCTAGAAATCTGTCCATTTCTTTAAGATTTTCAAATTTATTTGAATATAGGTTCTGAAGTAGTCTCTGATGATTTCCTGGACTTCCATGGTGTTTGTTGTATCTCCCCTTTTGCATTCCTGATTCTACTAATTTGGGTTTTTTCTCTCCTCATTTTAGTCAGGTTTTGCCAGGGTCTATCGATCTTGTTTATTTTTTCAAAGAACCAACTTTTTTTTCATTAATTCTTTGTATGGTTTTTTTTGGTTTCTATTTCGTTGATTTCAGCTCTATTTTTATTATTTCTCTCTTCTATTTG